AGCGGTTTGACGGGTCCAATTCAGCCTCTGAGAGGACTTCATGGTCCTGAATGAAACATTGATAGAAGTTCTCCCTCGACAACACAAATCTAGTGTTCAACTTCACTGCTTTGGCACAACATAGCGCCTTGTCCAAACGTTTTGTATACTACACTCCTCAAGAGGAAAATCACCGTCAGTCATCGGAAGGAGTGGCGCGGTTCGCAATCTGAAGATATGGTCGAACGCCCCCCCCCCCCCAACACCCCAGCATGACTCTCCTGACGATGGAACAACCATGATAGGATAATACCAGAGGGCATATTATCCTCCACAAGGCCCCTAAATGCATGTCACGTGAAGTCGTGCCTCTTTCAGAGACCCAACTGACGCCGGTTGCTCGCTGCATCATGTTTAAAGCACCATCAAAATTCAAGGTATTTTACCAAGACTTTAGTGGTGCTCTGACAGATGGCGAGGAGAAAATGGTTGGTACGTCAGCCCGCTGAAGGAGTTGCGTTGTTCTAGACGGAGCTATTGAAAATGAGGTCTACTTAAGTGTGAAGTCTAAGCTAACGTTTACAAACCTGAAAACGCTCCAGAGCTAGCCATCTCTTCACCTTTCACTAAGGAAAAGACTACAACACTACCGTAAGAGCGGTGTTGTTCTGTGGGTGTGAAATGTGCTCTCAGTAGCTCCAATCTTCAGAAGTGGTTAGTAACCCAGATCATGATGCAATTTCAGTTCACATTTACAGTGGTTAGGCCATACACTGATGTACATCGAATACCACGGCGTGCCTTATTCTCGTCCACCGGCGGCAGCTGGAAAAAAGGGATGATCAGTCAGACAATAGGAAAATGGAGACAAAGAACTCAACAGTAGGATTGGTCAAAGATAGCTCGAGGAACTCAGTGGTCATCACCATGTACTTCTATTTCGATTACCAGGATTCGAATCTCTGCACGAGTGCGTTTAAAATGATAATCGGCCACTGTCTTGAAAATTGAATGCGCATTATTTCAGCAAGAGGTTAGGAGATACAACCACTTTTATCACGTCTCCATAATGAGTATTGGAAAGGGTCGAGTGCCATGGGGCAGATGCATGGAAGGATATTCACACATCATTCGGCAATCCATTTCCGAAACGAAACGAAAATCCAAAAGAAAGTGCAGCAAGGCTGTCGGCGAAAGATCTCTGGCCAACGCATTTCCAATGGCCTATTGTATCATGAATTGTTCGGTACACTGTCCAGACCACTAGTTGCAGGGTTGGCAGGACCGACGGATGATGAGCGGAATACATAGTGATGTGGTACAAATGCCCACAAGGTACACTCGTTCCTTTCAAATGCAAAATAAGCGACGTTTGAGAAAGCATTAGTGATCATTATCTAAAGCAGAACAATGCAAGACCATGTCATTGCAGTGCAAACTGAAAGAACAACCATTGCGAAGGGCAGTTAAGCCACACTATTACGGCCGTACACAAAACAACACATTTAAATATACAGCAGCGTAACCTGTGCGAGGCAAACTCACTTGATCCTTACAGTCTTTGTCCACACCAGAGGCTATCAACTTTTCCACTAGATCCAAATGTCCACCGCAAGCGGCCCAGTGGAGTGCGTTCCGACCAGTCTACTACCGGTTAGTTAACGCTTAGAAAAATTGAACGGTACTTGATCCGTGACATGAATATTTTGTGAGTCCGCTTGGATAAATCGATATAGTTCGTTGATGCGACCTTCATAAGCCAGCTGCCACAACGCAACATCGGGCATGGTGAGGATCAGTTAGAAGAGGCAGAATTTTCAAGTGAAGGAGTGGTTCTGAAAGGTAGAGTTCGCAGTCAGTTTTCAAACAGAACTATTGGACGGAATACGTAGAATTCACTTATTCGGGCTATATATATATATAT